TGTTCCAGTTAAGTGATTCATCGACACATCAATTCGTCGCAGTGCTGTTAGATTCGACATTCCCAAAGGAAACTCGCCGGAGAGCGAGTTGTTAAACAGTTCAATTTGAACTAAGCTTTTCAAATGAGTGATTGACACCGGAATCGACCCACTGAGTCTATTGTTCGACAAGTCCAGATTCTTAAGCCGAGTCATCCCGCCAAAAATATCCGGAATCCGATCGACAAGATTACAGTTAGCAAGCCAAAGAACCTCCAACTTCGTCAAGTTCCCAAATGCACTCGGAATCTCACTCCGCGAAAACGGATTATACGCAAGTTGAAGCTCTTTCAAACTCGAAATATTACCCAAACTCCCCGGAATAGTTCCATTCAAAAGATTTTCAACCAAATTCAGCGTCTCAAGCCAGCGAAACTCACCGAAACTCGCCGGAATCTCCCCGGAGAAGTTATTTCCAGAGAGATCCAGTAACCTAAGGTTCGTGATCTTGGAAACCGCATCGGGAATAGAACCAGCGAGAAAATTCTGCGACAAGTTAAGCCGCTGGAGACCAGAACAGGAGGCAAGATCGTCAGGAAGAGAAGCGTTAATGGCATTATTGAAAAGAGAGAGTGAAGAAAGAGAAGGAAGTCGACAAAAGAAGGTCGGAAAAGGTCCAGCGAGCTGGAAATCAGATAGGTCGACGGCGACGACAGAACGAGAGACGGAATCGCAGATGACACCGGACCAGTTGCAGGGAGTATCGTCGCGAGGGTTCCATGAAGATAGGGACTGAGTAGGATCGGAGAGACTGAGTTTGACTTGCTGAAGATACAGTCCTTCTTGATTCAGCGAGAATATCAATGGAAGAAGAAGAAGAAGAAGAAGAAGAAGACGAAAAAGACGAAGAAGAGGGAAGAGAACAGAAGCCATTCTGCAGAGGAAAAAAATGGAAACGAATTGGACTGTAAGAATGTATTGGAAATTATATATAAACATAAAATTACGAAATTACCCCTACTGTGAAGGAATGTTAGATTTAAGTTCCATAAAATTCTTATAAATAATTTCTAAAAATATAATATAGCTTTCATATTTCTAATTTAAAATATTATGTAATAAATTTAATTTTTTTCCAAATTTGTAGGAATAAATTTAAATAAATTAATTTTTTAATTATATAGCAAATAAAATTCTAAATTTTTAATTTTATGTTTAATCTTTTAAAATGTTAAATAGGGTTGAATATAGTTGTTTGGATTAATTTATAAAATATTAATTTATTTATTTTGAAAGTATTTATTATAATAAAAAAAATAGAAAATTAATAAGATTTTGTGGCCCCACGTTTGTTTGCATCTAACGGCGGATTGTAATTAGTGAGATAATTATAATTATGTTTTGGTAATTGCGTGTTTAAGAGTTCTAGAAAAATAAATAAATAAATAGTTTATTGAATAAATAATAATACTAAAAATAGTGTGTTACAATTCCTTTTTGAAAATTTTCATTAAATATTATAAATTCAGTAATAATTATAATGTTTTTACTAAAATAATAATATTTCTAAATGGTTTTGGTCCTAACTTTGTTTGCTTTAAGCTTTAATATGTTCAAAAAGCTAGTTCCATTAATGTTTGTTTCCATTATTTATTACAATAATTTTTTTTGAAAAGTATCCAAAAAAAATATATTATAACATACAAATTATTAATTTAATTACGCACATATTTCAAATTTACCGGGTTTCGTGTTTAGTATTCATATCAAATTTTGAAATTTGGATTTGATACCTGATTGTCCGATATTCTCTAACGACATGATCATATTAGTTACTCGCAGATCAACAGATATCCTTTTTACATGTTTTATCATTTCTCGTATCTCTATTACCACGTTTAACTTTGAAATTCATATTATTGAGTCGGGTATACTTTGTTAGTGTAGGTAGTAACTATCAGCTTTTTAGTCTCGAGATTTGTAACTGTCCAAGCCCACCATTAGTCGATACTGTTCTCTTTCGGCTTTACCTCAAAATTTTAAAACGCGTATACTAGAGAGAGATTTCTACACTTGAAGTTTGTCCGTGAATAAATCTTCACTTTTATTTATTTATTTTATTTCTGTTGAAAAAATCGAAATTGTCTGAACATCTACTATAATGGTTGAATTTTGTTCTACATTTGAGGTCATCGTCCCTACATTGTTGAAATCTCAAAACCCTTTTAAGCTCCAAGACAACATGCGTTTTAAAATGCAGCTGTATCAAGCTTAACCTACTCGAAGTTCAGTTGTTCATTATAACCATACTGAAAAAACTATCAACCAGTCTCTCGAGATAGCCATACAAAGGAAGATAAAAGTTCAAGTGTACTCATTGTAAGTTATGTGACCGTAATTAGCTTATTGGAACAGATAAATTAGGTTTACACCCCGTCCCTCGAGTATTAATTTAATATGTAAGGTCTTTTCAAAATTTAATGGATATATTTCTTTCCCATTACTTTAGGGTATAATTGAATGTGAAAGCAACGAAGGGGAGAGAAAATTGGGGAAATTTTTAAATAAAAGATGGTTGGTGATTTTGATGTGAGTCTAAGTTTGAATGAATAATAAAGACAAAGTTTGAATATTCAAACTCCAAGATGTAATGAATTTAAAAATGGTTGTTGCATTTTGGTTGTGTAAAAGTGACCCACACCTTCTCGAGAAATTTTTTGGACCAATTCAAAATTCTGGGTTGGTTAGGTTAATAACCGGAGCAACTTGAATAGAGTTCACAGCTCAACCTAACATAAGTTATAGTGTTGTTTTTTTTATTTAAGTATTTTAAAAAACTTATTTATCTACAATATATGTTACATTAATGACTAGAATCTCGTGAAACTCAAATATCAAACATTTACAAGTCACGACGCATCACTAAAATAGATTACAAAGGTCAAACATGTTTAGTTTCAGGGTAGGGTTGAGTTGTAACCCTGTTTTCGGGTTGGTCATGTTGACTAAATAAAAAAATGTTACCCGAACCGATCCAAAGATTAGATTTTTTAAAAATTCAACCCAACCCAAGATTTATGTTTTGGGTTGGATAGTCGAAATTTGTTAGATTCTCGGGTCATATAAACACTCTTAGTTGATATAATCTCAACCATAAATACCAAACAATATATATAAATAATTAAATAAATTATAAAAATAATTGTTAAGAAATTTGAATTATAAAACTTTAATATCTAACACATTTCTACTAAAATATTTATTTGGAAGATTTGATGTCCCGCTACCCATTTGTTGGGCAAAAATTAAAGTTCCATAATTTTAAATAAATAGATAAATTCGCCAAAAGAAAATAATAATAATTTTTTTCAAAAATTAGATTAAAAAAATAATAATTTGGAAATTCAAAATAATTTTTTTAAAAAAATTCGAACGTCGTTTCATTAAATTATGGAATTTGCTTTTGTCTTTTTTGGACACGTGGCAGTAAATTAGGCCAAATCTCCTTTCATAATTTTTTTTCACATAAAAAATAAAAGGAAAAAATCATTTTTCAGTTGGTTGGGTTATTGGATTATTTAATTTAATTTTTTTCCTTAATTATTTAGTTATTGGATTATTTAATTTAATTTTTTTCCTTAATTATTTAGTTATTAGATTATTTAATTTAATTTTTTCCTTAATTATTTAGTTATTGGATTATTTAATTTAAAATTTTTTTGGAGAGAGTACGCTAACTAAAATCTCATCAAACTTAAATATTAAATATTCACTTCTCACGACACATAATTAACTTGTATTATAAACGTTAAATGATCTTAATATTTGTAACTATCCTAGAAATAGGGATACACATGCGATAGAAAATTTTTTAAGACCTATCTAAAATTTTAAGTTGGTTGGGTTGAACCAACAAAAAAAAATTTGTATGTGAGAAACGTTGGGATGGGGTCTAGCGAGTGGTTAGCTAGTCAAAGGCTCAACTATTCATGATAAGCTTAATTTCTCTCTGGACAACATCTCAGTGATGACCAGAATATAAGTGATGGAAGTCATGAACAATAAACTACTGTACTTGATCCCCTACTACGTACCAAAAGTTGGTACGTAGATGCTGATATGAACGATGAACGGGGTGATCTTCATGTCGAACAATATATGAATGATGAGTTTCAATGAAGAAAGTAGTCGAAACTATGGAAAGCAATATTATAACAACCCAAAGTCCACCCCCTACTACGTACCAAAATTTGGTATGTAGACGTGGATATGAACGATGAACGGGGTGATCTTCATGTCAAACAATATATGAATGGTGAGTTTCAATGAAGAAAGTAGTCAAAACTTTGGAAAGCAATATTATAACAACCCAAAGCCCACCGTTAGTAAATATTATCCTCTTTTTACTCTCTTTCAAACTTCCCACTTTGGAGAGCAATATTGTAACAACTCCACTACTAGCAGATATTGTTCTTTTTTAACATTGTTCTTTTTTAACATTGTTCTTTTTTAACTTTCCCTTTTGGCTTAATATTGTATCAGCTCCACTACTAACAAATATTATTTTTTTTGGACTTTCCCTTTTGGATTTCCCCTCAAAGTTAGAGAGGTCTTCGTTCTCCTCCCCAACCAACGAATGATCTTACAAATATGATATAAGAAGAAGAGATGCTGTCGAATGAGCTTCCTCAAATTTCAGTGACTCAAACAGGGATTAGAATAGATTGTTAAAGGAGAGATACAATCCTTAGAAGCTCTCATGAGCATGCACAATCAATCGATCAAACATCCCCTGCTCGGTCCGTGATCTTTACCGGAAGTATTGTCATTGTATCAAATCATCCTGCACATCTTGCAATTGATGATCAATGAGAATATATGTAGATTTCTTAACAAGAGAAAAGACAGTCCTTGATTACTCTCAGTTAACATCTATTTCAATGGCATCATCGCCACCGCCCCAACGAACGTATGTCGCAATCTTTTCAAAAGGAAGAACACGAAATAACTAATAAACAGGGTTACCCAAAAAGTTCAGAATCTTTATAACCAAATTTCTCCAGCATTCAACTATTTTAGGAAAAGATTACTGCATGGCTAAGGAGATTTGATGTAGCCCTATGGAAACATATTTACGAACACAAAGTAAATGAAGATCCTTAAATACAAAAACAACAAACAAGGCGGCCCACTTTTAGCAAAATTTTCGAACACTGTATTTGCAATGAGTGGTTTCTTGGTTGAGTACAGAAAACCAAGCCAACAAATCATGAAATATTACTAACCCAAGAGTTTCTTGATCCCAGCCTTCTGCTCTGAAGTCAGCCGTGATGGGAACTTGATGTTAAATTTGATTCTTAAGTTTCCCTTCTTTGTCGGATCTTTCTGCATAGGCATTCCTTCTCTTGGGACGACCTCCTCGTAGCTTGGATTTACCACGCTGTTGATTGGGATCGTTAGACTTCTCCCGTCCAAGGTGGTGAGATGGACAGTGTAACCTGTCAAAGCCTCGACCAGTGATATCTTTACTGTGACAATTAGGTCATTTCCATCACGAGTGAACACACCGTGTGGTTTCTCATCGACGATGAAGACAAGATCTGCAGGTATCACATGAGGCTGCTCATTCCCTTTTTCAGGGAATGTGATCTTTGTTCCTTTCTTCCAACCTGGCTTTATATCGATTGTTAATATCTCTTCCACTGGTACGATCTTCCTGAATTAACAAAATGAGAGAGATGGATGAGTGTATATACAAAGACGAGAAAACCGAAACATGCAGCTTCAAATGAAACAATTAGCCCATAAAAGGAACTAAATTTGACAGCTGTCAAATAGTTACTGCGCGACTGCCAAACAAAATGTAAAAGTCCAAGCCCACTGCTAGTAGATATTGCCTTTTTGGGGCTTTCCCTTTCAAGGCTTTTAAAACGCGTCTACTAGGGAGTTGTTTCCACACCCTTACAAGGAATGCTTCATTCCCCTCTCCAACCAATGTGGGATCCCACAATCCACCCCTCTTGGGGGGCACAGCGTCCTCACTAGCACGCTCCCAGTGACTGGCTCTGATACCATTTGTAACAGCCCAAGCCCAAGCCCACCACTAGCAGATATTGTCCTCTTTGGGCTTTCCCTTTTGGACTTCCCCTCAAGGTTTTTAAAATGCGTTTACTAGGGAGAGGTTTCCACACTCCTATAAAGAATGCTTCGTTCTTCTCTCCAACCGATGTGGGATCTCACACAAAAGTTCTTATTCCTACTTAGCAAGAAGGATGTCTTGACCTATTTATTCCTACTTAGCAAGAAGGTTGTCTTGAGATGTTTATACAGAACTCTTCACACTCATCCACAAGAACAAATACTCAAGAGTATGAATACAAAAATTCGTCATGCTCAAGTTCGAAGTACTATTTGTACAAATAAGAACCATCAAGAGTAAACAGCAGCATTCTCGACGCAGTCGTCCACAAATCACACATATCAAACACAAGTGCTATCAAACAACACCCAATTCAGGCAAATGGAAAAGAACATTCATTTTGATAATTAAAGGACAAGTATTTTTAAACTCTTCAAAGTTGAAGCCTAGATGGTATTGATGCCAAGTTCGACCAAGAAAGTGCATGCAATCAAATTCTGTAGAAGTACAAAACTAAAGCAGCAAAGAAGGATGAATACCCGCTTGTATCTGAAACTTCTCTAGAAATTTTCATTTTCTTGGTAGTTCCTTTATACAAATCTTCAAGGCTACAAGGCAATCTATTCTCAATTGGGGGAGCTTTACGAGTAGCAGCTTGGTTCATGGATCCTCCCCCTCCTTCCCTAAAAGACGTAAATATATCATCACCAAAAATGCTACTAGAAAACCTTGGTCCTCCTCCCATTCCTCCAAACGGGCTTGACGACCCAAAAAATTCTGCATAAATGTCTTCGGCGTTTCGCGGATTGAATCTAAATGTTGATGACCGATCGCCAGTAGAAAAGAAGGAAGCTCCGCCAGGTCCGCCGGCATCAGGCGGCGGCACCTGACCCTTTAAACCCTCTTCGCCGTATTGATCATAGATTTCCCTCTTCTGGGGATCGCTAAGAACCTAAATACACAACATTCAGAAACCAAATCTAGCATATAAGGCAGTCGAAATACTCAAGAAGTAAAGACGAACAATAACAGAATCAGGAAGGAATTCCACTGAGATTCAGCAAAACCCCATGAAATTTGAAGGCCATCAAATCAAAGAATCTTACAGATCGGCATTCACAAAGTCATTCGATTATTATTCGGATGAAATAGAGAGAAAACGAACCTCATAAGCTTCAGAGATCTTCTTGAATTTGGCCTCGGCTTCCTTCTTGTTAGTAGGGTTCTTGTCGGGATGCCATTTCATGGCGAGCTTCCTGTAAGCCTTCTTCAAATCATCATCTTTGGCATTTCGATCGACTTGCAAAACCTTGTAATAGTCGATTCCCATAGCCCCCTTACACTTTCCCTATTCAGTTTCTTCTTCTTTCTCTGACCACGATGTTCTGCAAGTATTGCGGAAGAACCAATGGTTGGATTCACCAAAATCCCCAAGAAAGTTCCACAAATTTCCTCTCACCGACCTTCCTTCAAACCCAAAAATTAGGGTTTTTTTTTTCTTTAATTTTTTAAAATGAGTAGAAAATGAGTTCGCTTTTTGAATTGGGATAACATTTGATGCCCAAATCCCTATCACTCCAATTCAATTTAACCGTTGCTTCAATATAAATAAATACTAAATACTAAAAACAAAAAACAAAAAATCCAAATTTAATTATTTTCTTTTCAGTTCATTTTAATCCCCTATACATACCTCACGAGCTGATACCATTTGTAACAGCTCGAGTGTCCTTGTTGGCACACCATTCACTGTCTGATAGGCTCTAATACCATCTGTAACAGCCCCAGCGTGTTTGTGATGTCTCACATTGGTTGGAGAGGAGAACAAACCACCATTTTATAAGGGTGTGAAAACCTTCCCTTAACATACGCGTTTTAAAACCTAAAGGGGAAGCCCGAAAGTGAAACCCCAAAGAGGACAATATCCATCGCTGGCGGATCTGGGTCGTTACAAATGGTATCAGAGCCAGACACTAAATGATATGTCAACCTTCTCGCTGTTCCCCGAAGGGGGTACACATGAGACGGTGCGACAGTAAGGACACTGGGCCCCAAAGGGGGTGGATTTGGGGGCGGTGGTCCCACATCGATTAGAGGAAGAAAAGAGTGTCATCGAGGATGTTGGACTCCAAAGGGGGTGGATTGTGATGTCCCATATTAGTTGGGGAGGAGAACAAACCACCATTTATAAAGCCACCCCATATTGGTTGGGAATGAGAACAAACCACTATTTGTAAGGGGTGTGAAAACTGCGTTTTAAAGCCTTGAGGGGAAGCCCGAAAGGGGAAAACCCAGAAGACAATATCTGCTAGCGGTGGATCTAGGTCGTTACCGTGTTCGCCGACACACCACTCGCTGTTTGGTAGACTCTAATATCATTTGTCATGCTCAAGTTCACTGTTAGTAGATATTGTCTATTTTGACTCATTATGTATCGTCGTTGATCTCACGGATTTAAAGAAATGTCTCGTTCCCTTCTTCAATAATGTGATATCTTACGGTCACATGCTTTCTACAAAAATTTCATATGATTGGAGGGTAATAACGATCTTTATTACCTTCCTAATGGAAAAGATCTCAAACAAGCTTATTTGGTATACAAAAAAATATATTTTTTTAATTGTTTAGTTAAATATAATAGGATTAGAACGTTAATTATGGTCCCAAAAGTTATTTTTACTTTCATAATTATTAAATTAAAAAAAAAAAAAAAAAAAAGCTACTAGAAAACGGCATGTCGATAGGTGGATTTTCTCGCTCTAGCCTTTATTAAAAAGAACGACATATCGTAAATATACCACAGCCTCTGGCATTGAACTCATGGGCCACTAAGCCCGTAAAATGTCCCAATAAAAGGGGCCCTATTTATTCCGGGCTGAATTACATTGGGCCATAATATTTGATTCAAAAGCCCATTTAAGTCAAGTCGAATCTAACCCGACCCGAATCCGGCGTACAGGGAAGGGAACTAACCGTACACCCCAGTTCGAGTTTCTTGCCTAGGAGGAAAAGGAAAGCAATTCCCTATCGTTTATATTCTTCTGAAGAATCTTCAATCCCAAATCATTTGGAAAATTTCTTCCATTTCCAATCCTGTTTACTGATAGTTCACTCTCCTGCTCATCTTCTTCGTCACCTTCTGGTTGGACTTTGATTCTGTTAGTTTTCTTCTCTGCATAATGGCGCGTGACCCGAATGGCTCTGCTGGCGGCGGTGCCAGTAACAGCTCCCAGCGAGAGGAGGCGACTCTGAAGGTCCCATCGAAGGACGCCAAGAAGAAGGATGAGAAAAAGGAAGAGGATCTGGTATGCTTCATTCAATTTTTCGCCAGTTACAGCCTAGGTTGCAAAGAATTCAATTGAAAGTGGACGAATGTTGGCTTTGTTGTAAAATGTTTCTGGTTTGCTTTGAAATTATCTGCTGAACTTAGCTTAAGTCATTTCTGTACTTTCTTCTCATTCGCAGTACAAATTGAGGTGAAAGGGAAGATTTAGATTAGTTGGTTTTCCCTCTTATCTTCCAAGTAGTCTATTGGGTATTGATATTATGTGGATTATTGTGTGCTCAGTCGGAAGAGGATCTGGCCTTGAAGCAGCAGTTGGAGTTGTACGTGGAGAGAGTTCAGGACCCTGATCCTGGGTTGCAGAAAGTTGCCCTTGAGAGTATGAGGTTCGCATTTTTATTTATAATTCAGTTAAAACATAAATTTTACTTCAGGTATCGTACACTGCTTGTGGAGGTATGCAATTATGATGTAGATTAGCATATAAGGTTGAATAGGTTAGGTATAGTATATATTTTCTTCACGGTTTCATATTTTGAACTTATTTGAGAATTTTTAATTCTAGGCAGGAAATTCGAACTTCGACAAGCTCCATGACTTCTGTTCCAAAGCCTCTAAAGTTCCTTCGCCCACATTATGGAACTTTGAAAGCTTATTATGAAACAATGGCAAACTCGGATTTAAAGGTGGTTTTCTTGGTCATGGCCCCTCATTGTTACCCATCATTGATTTTGTTTTAACTCTACTCGCTTCGCAATTGCAGAAATACTTAGCAGACATACTATCAGTATTGGCACTGACAATGTCTGCAGAGGGAGAACGGGTTTGTTCGCTTTCTTTAATATTTACCTCAATATGTTCCTTTTGTTTCTTTGTTTTAATATCACATGTATGGGGGATATTCTTTGTTTTTGGCTTCCCTGTGTCGTGTTTTATTGTCACATGTTTACGTCTTATTATAGCTCTATTATGTCTCCTTATGAAGCTACACTTACATATAAATGATTGTTTGTCAAACATTCTCAGGAAAGCCTGAAATACAGATTATTAGGTTCAGAAAGTGATATTGGTTCATGGGGCCATGAGTATGTAAGGTGAGCATATGATTAGTACAACATTCTACTGCTATTCATTACATGGTTCTTTGTCAGTGTGACACTGGGTAGAAAGATTTTAGAAGGTATTATCTGTATTATACTATAATTTTTTTTAATATACTGAAACATCAGGAATTTGGCTGGAGAGATTGCTCAGGAATACACCAAGCGACAGGTTATGACGATTCTTTTAGATTATCCAATAAATTTCTCTCTTTTTCTGATCTAATTAATAGATGATAACATAAATATGCTGTCTCTATGCTTGGTGAAATGCTGTCTCTACTAAAGAGGAGGTGGACTTACTGTTGCTTTGATTTCTTTCTTTGTTTCAGAGTGAAGAGGCCCCCATTGATGATCTAATGGAACTTGTTCAAGAAATTGTTGCTTTTCACATGAAGGCACGTCTATATAATAAGCTTTGGATACTAAGACATAGTTTTCTCTAGATAACGTAGTACTGTCTAGCAATTTACATATTCATTCTCTAATTAGTTTTATTGATCTCCAGCACAATGCTGAACCTGAAGCTGTTGATCTATTAATGGAGGTTAGATACTACAATTTATATGTACATATTCTTTTTTTTTGGGGGGGGGGGGGGGGGG